TAGTGAGATTGAAGAACCATCTAGATCATTGTGGCCACTGTGAGCTTTGACGGGGGATGGAGGCGGGGCCTGTCAAGAGGAGCCGTAGCATAAGATGCAACTCTCACTGAAGCGGACGGTCACAGTCTCTAACTCTCCAAACATCTCGACATCGCTCCCCTAGACACATCGGTTTTCAGGGAACATGGAGGAGAGATGGAGAAACCATGACTCCTACCACCAGTCCCTTTACAGGCCACCCTAGAAAGACTGCTCAGAGCCCCCCGGCCTTGCCCCATGAAGCAGATACTGCCCTCAGTTACTGTTTCCCCATCTGGTAGATGCCAAAATCTAGTCTTGTTTTGTTTTGTTTTCCGAGACACGGTTTCTCTCTGTAGCTTTGTAGACCAGGCTTGGCCTGGAACTCACAGAGACCTGCCTGCCTCTGCCTCCCGAGTGCTGGGATTAAAGGGCCAAAAATCTATTTTTGAACTACAAAAAGTTTTATTCTACAGGCGAGGCTGGAAAACAGAACATGGATTTCCGCTGGAGTCCGTACTCCATAGCAAATGCCCTGGTACTTCCGCTGAAAGAGACAACAATCTGTCCTGTGTTCAGGGTGTCCTGGGAAACCAGGTGGATAAGAGTGTGCTGGATGATGGTGTCCCCAGAGAACAGGTGATGGCGCAGAGTAGGAGAGGAAAGGCCTGCCTCCCTGAGGTGTCTGCAGCTTAGTGGACAGTGGTGAAGACATCTGGGAGGTGGCGGAGTGTTGGAGCGCTGTGGCTTTGAGTTGGCGCATTCCAGAACTTGAGTGTCAGCTCACCGAGTGCAGTGCTTCAGGGAGTTAATGCAAGCCAGTGCTTCCCTGGGAGTAAGGCTTGCAGATGAGTGTAAGCTGGCATGAGCGTCTCACATGTAGGGCCCTGGAAAAGTACCTTTGGGGGAGGTCCCCGTCTATATAAACAAGTCGAGTCACCCCAAAAGGTTTGTCAGTAACCCATGAGGAAGATGACTTAGCCTGGGGTGTGGTTATTTAACCAAGTTTCTCTTCTAGAGCAGACCTATACCCCAGGGCGTGTTGCCAAAACTCCACGGGCAGGACTCCTGGTCTCCATTCCCCAGGGTACCTAGTCAGCCAGACAGAGCACAAGAGGGTACCAAGGGAAGGCTGTGACACTCCATCCGGAGGCACTGCTGGCCCCAGCTGGTCCTGGACCCAGAAGAAGAGTTAGATACACTGGGAAGGCCCAGCATCAGGGCAGGACCCTCCTGGTCCAGGTGTGAGGACAGCATTGGCTGAGGATTAAATGAAAATGTGCATGTCAGAGTGTTGGGTATTTTAGCACATACGAGCATCCAGCAAATTTTGGCTGCAGGAACAATAATAGTTGATTTTAGAAATTATTTTGAACTAGTGGAACAAGCTTGTAATCCCAGGGCCTAGGAGGTAGAGAGGCAGGGGGATTGTGAGTTTGAGGCCAACTCTGGCTGCATAGTGATTTCAAGGCTATCCTGTGCTACGTGTGGAGGCTCAGTCTCAAAACAAAATAAAAACCAGAGAAGTCACAACAAAAGTTATCCTGGTGGTAACCTCCTAGTGCTGTGAAGCCTGGTTTTCCTGTCGCTGGGACCTGGCACCGTGAATGGATCTCAGGAAGTGGGGTTCCCAGGAAGCCGCTGTGTGCTTAGAGCATCCTGTTAGGGACAGGTGCTCCGAGGAGGAGAGGAAGTGTACCCCTCCTGCACTCCTGCGCCTTCCTGTACTGGTGAAACTGCAGTGTTCACTGGCAGCTCCTGGCAGGGGACAAGGGAGACATTTGGTAAAGTCCTCCTGAAACTGCCAGACACGACCCAGGATGCAATGCAACAGCTTCCTGTTGTTGTCTGGTGCTCAGCTTGTGCAGGGCTCTGCGCTGCTCGGGGTGTCCCCACATGGATCTGTGCAGTCTGCCTTTGTGCCCAGAACAACCCCCGGAAGCCGGTGGGGAAGGCGTTTCCTCATTTAAGAACAGGAAAGAGATGAGTAAGAAGCTGGGACCGAGGGCAAAACAATACAGAGTAAACAGGGAGCACCTGCTGTGACTTTAACTCCATCTCGATGGTGGAGGGAGCCCTGTCGTGAGGGACCATCTGTCCTTTTCCGGGAGCCTACTGAGAGGTCATGCTAGGTATTGCTGCAACTACTGGTTTTGGTTTTTCTGTGTTTAGTATTTACGATAAGTCCACAAGGCCGATGCTGCTTTTTAAATGTTCTTATTTATCCTTTGAGAATTCCATACACGCGTAATGAATTGTGATCATATCACATTTTCCCCGTAGCTCCTCCCCGCCCCCTCCCCACAGGAGGTCTCCCTTCCAACTTTATGCCCTCTTTTTTCCCCCCAATATCCCACTGTGCCCAGCTCGTGCTGTCTGTATGCTCATGGCTGTGGGGCCGTCGTCCACTGGGGGCAGAGGCAATCTCCAGTGGCCCCGACTCTGCCCCCACCCAGCTGCCACCAACTGTTCCTCAGCTATCGCTGGGGCCTGAGAGCTCCTCCCCATCCATGATGGGGTTTTGACTGCTTTGATCGTGCAGCAGTGATATATATACTCTTACACCCGTTTGACAGCTGAGGGCATAGAAGACACTCCCACCTAACATCAACACCGAGTGGAAGAGTCAGGTGTAGACCAGGATCTACCTGACACTGAGGTCCACAGTTTTTGTCACGTGATTTGCTGAGATTCTCTGCTGCTGGGAGCCCCTTCTGTGGCAGCCTTGCTTACACCCCCCAGGGATGGATGTTTTCTCCCAGTGTTCAGATGCCACATAACTGGGGGAACCTTGTGTGTGTGTGTGTGTGTGTGTGTGTGTGTGTGTGTACGCACTTGTGCATGTGTGCACCCGGACATGCACAAGTACGTTTGTGTATGTACATGCATATGTGTGTGTATGCACTGCTGTGTGTGCATATATATGTGTGTGTGTGTACATGTGTGCAAACGCACTGGTGTGTGTATGTATATATGTGTGTGTGCACATGTGTGTGTGTTTGTAAAAGCAACACCAAGCTCTTTTTTTCAAAGTAATCATAATATGCAATGTCGCCGTTCTTTAATTTTCATGTCCCTTCTGAGCCCAGTATTGCTGATCAACAACCACAGCCAGGAATGTCATGATCCCTGGGGAGGTCGCGGGTACTTTGGGATATAGTTTAAAAATAAAGCTCTGGTCCCCAAGATGCTCTGAGCGTCCTCCTGGCGGTGATGAGAGGGCTGCACTGGGAAGAGGAGCTGAGTCCTTACGACTTATACGCAACTGTAAATGGCTTCACCTAAACCTGTGAGGGAGACTGGTGGGTAGGGGTTTCTGCTCCCTCCTCCTCAGCCCCACTTTCCTGGGGGGTGGCTCTTCTGTGACACAAGGTAGTGACAGGCACCTGCTGCTCAACAGGAGGTCCGCGTGTTGTGGCCCCTATCCCTCCACACACTGATCTCCAGGGGTACATCTTGTGACGGCGTGATTCCTTCAAGAGAACGGCCTTGTTCTAACTTTTATTCTGCTCAGGATGCAAATGGCTGTGACACCCAGGCTTCTTCGTGCCTCCTTTTACTCCCTCCTCCTTTCTCCTCATTTTACAACAGTGGGGACTGAATTTAGGCATTCACGCAAGCAATCCAACAGGGAGCTTTCGTCCCAAGTCCTTCAAGATGAGTCAGACTCTTCAAGTTTTCCAGGCTGGCCCTGAGTTCACACTGTAACTCAGGCTGGCTTTGGACTTGGGACCTTCTTGCCTCTCAAGTAGCTGTGATTACAGGCTGGTGTCCCCAGGTCCAGCCACAGCCAGGGTTTTCTAAGTCTCAGGAGAGCACAGATACAGGGAGATAAGGGACTCCAGCCCTGGCTGACATTTTAGACATTTCGCATTCCCCCTTTTACTAACAGTTACCAACCTCCTGCCTAGGCCCTCGTTCCAATATTTTAATCATGCTCAATGGAACCGCATCTCAAGCCATGGACTGTCAAGCCCAGTTTTCTGCCACAGCTCAGCATTAACCCCCAAACACCCGTAGCAGACCCTCACAGAGATCTGAAGGTCATGTCACGGTGGTGTCTTCACATACATGCTCTCCCAGATGCCCTGTCACCTTCCCTGGCCCTCTGAGAGGCCTGTTCACACCCCTTCCCTTATGGAAAGGCCTGTTCACACCCCCTCCCTTATGGAAAGGCCTGTTCACACCCCCTCCCTTATGGAAAGGCCTGTTCACACCCCCTCCCTTATGGAAAGGCCTGTTCACACCCCTTCCCTGATGGAAAAGGCTGTTCATACCCCTTCCCTTATAGAAAGGCCTGTTCATACCCCTTCCCTTATGGAAAGAAGGCCTGTTCACACCCCTTGCCCTATGGAAAGGACTGTTCACACCCCTTCCCTTATGCTACCCCCTGCTTTGCTGGCATCCTGTGTATATTTCTATTGTATTGGCCCGTGTATAACCTCCTTCTTTCGGTTCCCCCTGAGGCTGTGGAGGGAGCCGTGTTTGTGCTTTTAGTCCACTGTAGTAATCTACCACGGAAAAGGGTGTGTGAGCGTGTGGACAGTGACTGAATGGATGCTTGTAGAAATCGGAGGACAAAGGCTTCCCTTGCCCAGCTGCGGAGGCCTGCAGCAGAGCCACAGCCTGGCGGCTTCAGATGCAACACTGCGGGTCAGCCGCGCTGGCGACTTCAAAGCCACCCAGTCCTGTTCCCTTCAGTTGTGCGGCCCAGAAAAGCGACTTCATACCCCCCCAGTCTCACTTTCATCAAAACGTGCAAAATATGGGCAAAACAACTCCATTGCAAATGGATCACAACCCCCTAAAAGAACATATAAAGAGAAATATTTCTGCGTTTAGTAGGACCTTAAACATATTTCCTTATTTTCTTCCCTCCTCCCCAAGTGTGAGAGGATTCATAGTTGCCTAGGTAACCAATGTAGTTGTTTTCCAAAGGAAAGAATACGAAGAGGCCAGGGAAAGAAAAATGGGATTTGACATTAGAACCGGAAAAATAGATATAATCAGCCCAAAATATGAGCAAAAGAAAATTATCCCAGCGATTTGAGTAACAATGGAAAAGGGAAGGTAAGGGAAGGCGTACTCGGCTTCATGGTGCTGTCTGCACCTGCCTTGCCTGCCGCGTTTTACTTATGATTCGTTCGTTTGTTTTAGCTGCTTGGTCAATGAGTTTATTATGTCTATGAAGAAACCCTCATAGAGAATGGCTGCGGCTCTGGCGGCCCACTCCTGAGCTCCGGGGAAGCTCGCCTGTTGAGCCCTCCGCCCTTTCTTCTGGGACAGAGACATCTGGGGATGGCTCCACCCCATCTCACTTCTCTCCTGGGTTTCTTCTCATGGGCTGGAATCTCCTGGGTGTCACCCTGAGCCTCCGTGGGCCTCTCCTGCACCGCATCTGGAGTCACGCTGTTCTCTGGGGACTGAGAGAACTGTTTCTGGTCAGCACCTTCGCCTTCCTCTGCTGGGTAACGCGCATGCGTAGTCCGCAACGCTCTGACCTGTGATGTGCTGGCGGTGTAGGTCTGTGCTGAACTCCGCTGGGTAACGCGCATGCGTAGTCCGCGCGACAGTCTGACTTGTGATGTGCTGGCAATGCAGGTCTGTGCCGAACTCCGCTGTGTTGTCAGAATGAGAACCAGGGGATCGTTGGGTGCTGTGAGCCTCCGTCCACAGCTCCCTCGGGGCCCCAGTAACTGTATTGCCAGTTGCAGCTCAGGCAAGACTGTAACCTGTAGCCTTCCCGCCAGCCGACCGGGTACCCTGGCAGCCTTAGCCCCCCCAAACAACACACGAGACATTGCATTGATTATGAAGCTGTTGGCCGTTTGCTATGGTTTCTAATCGGCTAGCTCTGAGTTAATTGTTAACCCATAATTACTAATATATATATGTATTAGTATGTATATGTATACATATATATATTTTATATAAGGACTTATCTTTCCCGATATATGTATGTATATGTATATATATATATGTATATGTATACATATATATATTTTATATAAGGACTTATCTTTCCCGAGAACACACCAGACTTGCGTTCTCTCATATGGGGACCACTCCTCTTCACTACATTTCCCAGAATCCTCCTGGACTCCTAGTCCCACCAATCTTGCTTCCCTATTGGCCACCAATGCTTTATTTACATATGCGCAGAAGGACGTCCACCATCGCAAGACCTGTATCTAAACAGCAAGGGGAGGCACCAGGCTGGCCATCAGTGCCTACCGCGTTGTATTCATCTGTGGTGGCCTCCCCTTGGCCTGCATAGATCTTGCCCATACCGCGCTTCTTGAGAAGCCTGTGGACTAGCAGCAGGCCAGTGCAACAGACTGCAGCATAATTTGTCAGGGCTACTTTTGCACCATATTTTGGCAGTTCCTGTGCATGTAGGCCACATGCTATCATATCCACGTCTATACGGGCATATGCAATCTGGCAGATGAGATTTCTGTTAGTTACATGAACCATCCTCCTGTATTTGGGGGTGTTGTACTTACTTTTACCCTAGATCACCAATTGTTTCCGAGCATAGTAGTCAGTTTTACCCTCTCACTGCCTTCCTTCTAAATCTAAATAAGTAGGCCTTATTCCTGACAACTTTTCCCGCAGAGCAGAAACCCAGAATCACAGCTCCACACAAGCCTGCAGGCCCATCGATGCAATGGGGAGGGGCAAAAAAAGTTATTTTTGATTTGTTGGTCATTGTTTTTCGTTTCTTTTTGGGCCCTGGAGTTTTATTTTTATCTTTGGGTCCTACTTACTAGCATGAGACACCATGGGACAGAGAAAGAAAGGGCTGGAGAGAAAGGTCAGGCCATGGGGTCCACCCACCAGCACACAGCCTCTCCTTCTATCCATCCTGGCCTGATAGTTTGTAATGTCATTTCTTGTTTTACATCACCAGGATATTGTGGTCAATTCCAAGTTCTGTTTCATATCAGTCTGTGTGTAGCTGGACATGTTCATCTCACCCCGCTCACAGGCCTGACTTGTCCTTAAAGGGGACAGGCCATCTCTGTAGTCACTTAGTAGGCTTCTGCAGGGACACAGGATACTGGGTAAGTAGCTGCCTGGTTATCGAGGTCACAACCACTGAGACCCGTATTATCCTCAATGGAAATGTCCTGTGACGGTTAATGTGTTCAGTAACACTTCAACCAGACTTGACCTAACAGACTAACAGACCACAGTTCAGCTGGCCGGTTTTACTTAGGAGTTTAACAAGGATGTGAGCAACTATTTCTAACACATTTTTTATTATTAAATTCCTTACCAAAAGCCCAAGCAAACGAACAAAAACAAACAAAAAATACCCAGGGGTAATCCAGTTTGGTTTCTACACATAAATCCTGTTGGAGAAAAGATGTCCAGTCCAACCAGTGTTTGAAGTTCTTTCTCTGTAGCTGGGAACAGCCACCCACACTGGGAGCTTTTCTTTAACTACCTATGCAGCAAGCATTTCTTCTGCTTGCTCAGATGCAAATCGACTTCTACAGCGCTTTACAAAATGCGTCCCAAACTGTTTGCACCATGAGACGGTGAACCGAAGGAGGGCTCTGTTTCTACCTCTTGGATTTGGGCCATTTTCAGCCTCTTGAAGGAAACCCTTTGTGTTACACAATTGTTTGTTAGCATGATCAATGAGCCAAGCATCATTCATGTCTTCCAGAGTTTTGTTCAGTTGGCTTTTCCACTAAGGACCCTGTAGCTTAACAGCACCTCTGCGGGTCAGTTGATTTTTTATTCCTGCGCAGAAATTTATATCCAGCAAAGATTCTCAGAGCTCTTACATTATATTCAAGAAAGACAAAGCGTGTGTTTCAGATCTCAATTCAAGAAGAGAAAATTTACATTCTAAAGCATTTCTCTTTCTGTCAGTTTTCTCCCAAACCCCAATAAGTCCAACACATAGACAAAGTGTTTTCCATCTTGCTGGGGGTTGCAAAAATGAGGGGAAGAAAGCTGTCTTATGCAGCAGCTTTTCCAGAAGTCTGTTGGACGTGGCACAGGGCATAGAGCGCTAGCAGTCTCTGGTAGAGCTGAAGCAACGTGCAGCTGTTTAAGCATTGGAGGACCGCTCCTACATACGCAAGCACATTGGAGTATCGTTATAAAGGCTCTTCCTAAGCCCCACCCACTGCCCCCACAGGTAACCACGGCTGGAAAGACATTTAGGGTGTATTTGTTTATCAGGCTTCTGACCCCAACTATCTCAGCCAGTTCAAGCAAGCTCATTTGCTTTTGTTAAGGAGGCAGGGCTTGAGGAGGGTATGCATGCTTACAAATTCCACTGTATTTGCACAATGAAATGATCCAATAAATCATTGATTTGCTTGAGAAAAATTAGGCTCTGTTTGGTGGACATACTTAGTCTCTGTGGGTATTGTTCCATTGATCTCTATAATCTAACTTGGAAGACTCCTTGAATGTGATCAATGGATCAATATGATTTTTTCCTTTTTATGGGCATAAAGATGAGGATAACTTAGGCTCTGCTTTTCTTGTGGATGACTCTAGGTGAGCAGTCTGGGAGGAAGTCCCACCCTTCTTTGCATCCGGCTTCCTCTCACACCTTGGAACCCTGGCACATACTGGTTCCTGAGATGCCTGCCCCAGTCAGTCCTAACTTAATGTAGATCCCCAGCAATGACCAGGGTGTGTGTGTGTGTGTGTGTGTGTATGTGAGGGTGCATGAGTATGTGAGTGTATTTGTGTATTGTGAGTGTGTGTATGTGAGTGTGTGAGTGTGTACGTGAGTGTGTGTATGTGTGTGTGTGTGAGTGTGTGTGAGTGTGTACTGGGGGTCTGACTGCCATTGCCTTTGTGTGTGAACAGCTTTGGCTGAATGTGAGGTTCTTCAAATACACTCTTTTCTTCTGTCAGGGCTGCCCAGCATGGGTCCTTTGTCCTTCATAAGCTGATGCTGCTGGGAATCTAAGATCAGCGTTCACATCTCTGTGTGGATGGTGAGAGGTTTTTTGCTTGTTTTTCCTGCCTGGATTTCTGGAGAATAATAACACCCTTGAAGTTCAAAGTTTAGTCAACTAACTTGCTATATAAATTTTTGCTGAACTCTTATGCATACTGTTTAATTTGCAGGTTTAGATCTATGTTCACACAGGGGTTGTATTTAATCTTTTTGGTTGTTTTGTTGTGTTTTCTTATGGGGTGAGTTTGAAGTTTCATCCTCCGTGATGTTTGCTCTCTCAGTGTTTTGGACCCTTTCTTCTGCAGTCACTGAAATCATCTGATTCCCCTGTGTTCAGACTTTGGTATCTTATTGGCATCTCTTTTGTTCATTTCTCATTGTTGATGCTCTCTTGGTCCTTAGCTTTCATTTTTTAACTCCTGCTGTCTCTGTCCTCATTCTCGTGGGCTGTCTTCTCAGCCTGGAAGTCTTTTTCTTTCTTTGTTTTGTGCCCTAATTCAGCGCTCTGCAATTTTACAAACTCTTCTCTCTGGTTCCATTGAGATGACATCAGACCCCAGGCTCTGGGCTCACAGCCTCCATTGGTTCCAGATGGACAGGAAAGGGCCTCATGCTAACACAAGACCCTAACCCCTTCCACCCAATTCCCCCATTCCTATTAGCTTCCCCTTGCTTTGACTTCCCCGGGTGAACTCCTACGTCCTGGCATTGGTTCCCACTCTGTCTGGGGTATCTGTGTCCACCCGGCTCCTCCTCTTCCCTCTGTGCAGTTATTCAAATTACAAATTAGCAGCGCTCCATCTCCCCAGCATTGTCTTCCAGCCTTGCGTTTTTCCTGAAGTGCTTCCTACTGCTTAGGCACACACATTAAAATTACTTACAGACTTGCCACCCCCACCCGTTTCCACTTCTGCCTCCTGGTTCATCTTTAAGCCAAGATCTTCTGTGCTGCCATTTTCAGTATAAGGGGCTGACTTATCCAGGAAGGCAAGCGACAGGGCTCCTCTGGCCTCCTTTCTTTCTTTCTTTCCTTCTTTCTTTCTTTCTTTCTTTCTCTCTCTCTTCCTCCTCTTCCTCCTCCTCCTCCTCCTCATTCTCTTCCTCTTCCTCCTCCTCCTCCTCCTTTTTGTTTGCTTTAGAGACAGGATTTCTCAGTGTAGCCCTGGCTGTCCTGGAACTCGCTCCGTAGACCAGGCTGGCCTTGAACTTACAGAGATCCACCTGCCTCTGCCTCCCAAGTGTTGGGATTAAAGGCGTGCGCCACCACAGCCTTGGAGTTCTGTGGTCATGGGGCACTGCAGACAGGACAGCGAGACGGTGGGGATGAGAGACACACCATGCCCATCTCACTTGGTAGCACATGTGTGCTGTGGTCCCTTCGGACTTAACGCTTCACTTACAAAGTGTTGAGTTGAAAGAGTGTGTTATTACAGGTGTCAGTATGACCACACCCTGCACAGGCAGAGGCTGCACACCCACGGAGCCCGTCCCCTCCTTACTGTGGCCTCAGCAGTGGGGTGTGTTACCTACCACCACTCTTAGATGGGACTGTTAATTCCCACACGGGGAAAGTAATGTGCCCAAGGCCACTGGGCACCCAGTACGTAGAATTCAACCCCAGCCCGTGTCTGACTGAGCAGGGCTTCCTGCGTGGCCAGTGTGACTTAATAAAGTAACGCCAGTAAGAGGCTAGACAGGAGGGTGGGGTCATTCCTGCACAATTGTGTCAGCAACCCTGGACAGATGAACTCTGTGACTTTAGTTGTCCTCTTTGTCAATGCCTCTTCAGTCATACAGATTGCAGATTTTCTCCATGTAGATTGTGGGTGTCACAGTCCCTCCTGAAGCTGTCCTTCCTGTGGTCACATAGGGGAGCGATGGCT